AGACACTAGCCAAGGCAGGGGAGGTATACACACAGACACTAGCCAAGGCAGGGGGAGGTATACACACAGACACTAGCCAAGGCAGGGGAGGTATACACACAGACAATAGCCAAGGCAGGGGAGGTATGCATACAGACAGTAGCCAAGGCAGGGGAGGTATACACACAGACACTAGCCATTGTAGGGGGAGGTATACACACAGACACTAGCCATTGTAGGGGGAGGTATACACACAGACACTAGCCAAGGCAGGGGGAGGTATACACACAGACACTAGCCAAGGCATGAAAGGTATACACACAGACACTAGCTAAGGCAGGGGAGGTATACACACATACACTAGCCAAGATAGGGAGAGATATACACACAGACACTAGCCAATGTAGGTGGAGGTATACACACAGACACTAGCCAAGGTAGGGGAGGTATACACACAGACACTAGCCAAGGTAGGGGGAGGCATACACACAGACACTAGCCAAGGCAGTGTAGGTTTAAACACAGACACTAGCCAAGGTAGGGGGAGGTATACACACAGACACTAACCAAGGTAGGGGGAGGTATACACACAGACACTAACCAAGGTAGGGGGAGGTATACACACAGACACTAGCCATTGTAGGGGGAGATATACACACAGACACTAGCCATTGTAGGGGGAGATATACACACAGACACTATCCACGGCAGGGAGAGGTATACACACAGACACTAGCCATTGTAGGGGGAGATATACACACAGACACTAGCCATTGTAGGGGGAGATATACACACAGACACTAGCCAAGGCACATGGAGTTATACATACAGACACTAGCCAAGGCACGGGGAGTTATACACACAGACACTAGCCAAGGCACGGGGAGATATACACACAGACACTAGCCAAGGTGGGAAGAGCTTTACACACAGACAATAGCCAAGGCAGGGGAGGTATACACACAGACACTAGCCAAGGCATGAAAGGTATACACACAGACACTAGCTAAGGCATGAAAGGTATACACACAGACACTAGCCAAGGCATGAAAGGTATACACACAGACACTAGCCAAGGCATGAAAGGTATACACACAGACACTAGCTAAGGCAGGGGAGGTATACACACATACACTAGCCAATGTAAGGGGGGGGGGGGTATACACACAGACACTAGCCAAGGTAGGGGGAGGTATACACACAGACACTAGCCAAGATAGGGAGAGATATACACACAGACACTAGCCAATGTAGGGGGAGGTATACACACAGACACTAGCCAAGGTAGGGGAGGTATACACACAGACACTAGCCAAGGTAGGGGGAGGTATACACACAGACACTAGCCAAGGCAGTGTAGGTTTAAACACAGACACTAACCAAGATAGGAGGAGTTATACACACAGACACTAGCCAAGGTAGGAGGAGGTATACACACAGACACTAGCCAAGGTAGGAGGAGTTATACACACAGACAATAGCCAAGGTAGGAAGAGTTATACACACAGACAATAGCCAAGGTAGGAAGAGTTATACACACAGACAATAGCCAAGGTAGGAGGAGTTATACACACAGACAATAGCCAAGGTAGGAAGAGTTATACACACAGACACTAGCCAAGGTAGGAGGAGTTATACACACAGACAATAGCCAATGTAGGAAGAGTTATACACACAGACAATAGCCAAGGTAGGAAGAGTTATACACACAGACAATAGCCAAGGTAGGAAGAGTTATACACACAGACAATAGCCAAGGTAGGAAGAGTTATACACACAGACAATAGCCAAGGTAGGAAGAGTTATACACACAGACAATAGCCAAGGTAGGAAGAGTTATACACACAGACAATAGCCAAGGTAGGAAGAGTTATACACACAGACACTAGCCAAGGCAGGGGGAAGTATACACCCAGACACTAGCCAAGGTAGTAGGAGGTATACACACAGAGTCTAGTAATGCTGACCACATTACCCATCTAGTGCCGATTCATTACTAAAGATATGGGTGCTCTTCCCATACGCTTGATGCATCTAGAGGCATGAAAAGGGATCATTACTGACTTGCTTTCAAGAGTGTACTAATTCTTTGCATAACTTTATGCCCGACAGCTTCGGAAATTAATTTTGATATCGCACTGGTCAAGATTAAAGCCAGAAGGAATGGTCGAGGCATTCGTTTCAACAGGTTTGTTCAGCCAATATGTCTAGCTGATTCTACAGAAGACCCTTTAGCTGGCACCCCATTGATATTTTCAGGATGGGGACGGACATCTCCAGGTAGGATTTTTCGCTTGCATAGCTTATGTAATAAGTATCCATTTTAATAAATAACTTACATTAAACATTAGAAAAAGAGTTTTAAATGTTAAATCTAGCCTGTCCTGTTGTATTGTAATGAATCTTAGAATGCAAGCAAACAAATTAGAACGAGTTAAGCGTCAACTGATACATGTGAATACCTTGGACAGCCAGAATAACTTACTATGATTGCCTGGAAATGGCTAATGAAAATAAAACATTATATGCAACAATGAGAAGGAGACTAATAGTGTTCTTTGATCAACTGACGAGAAAAGGAGGTGTGGAAAATATTGTGACGACTTGAGAGATCACTGGTAAAAGAGGCATAGGCAGACTAAGAGAAGTGATGGTGTATGGCCTTAGACGTGGAGGATTATCATCCTTGGAATTGATCCAGCACAATAAAGACCGTGATCTGTGCAGACGCATGCACAGCTACGCCAGCTGGGAAGGCACTGGCTGATTATAATGATAGCTAGTATTTTCAGATTTAGTAAATATTTATCAACAGGTTGTTTAGTGCTACCCCACTGGGTAGGAGACTGATGCATGACAAACCTGGTGTGGTCAATATTCTTTGGAAGTGAGAGAACGATGCAGTAGCGGAAATAGGTCATCATGCTGTGGCGAGAATAGTGTATCAGGGAGTGATCAAGGATTCTTGCCTAGACTGTATACTCAGAGGAAAGTCAAAACTGACATACATTATAATCAAACTCACACATAAACTGCCTGGAGAAGAGGAGAACTGAGCGCGTATGGAAATGTCCCAAGGGCTCTACTCGTGACTGAGGGATCTCTCACTTAGTATTACAGGCATGTTAATATGATCATAGACAATGCTTCCATACACACAAATAAGAAGCCGATTTACATGTTACCGAAAGCAAAATACCGTACACCCGTATATGATTTCACCTTGAAAACAATAATCAATCACTATTGGACGAGCTCCAACTTGTAAAGAATGCTTGCTGCTTTCTATATTGTTATTCTCTTTCCTGGCTTCCAGTCTAGCGTTTCCACATTATAGCTAGCATTGTTACTCCATATGACCTTGCCGCTACCAACTTGTGAGCAAGCACAACTATCTGCAATTGACGTTAAAAAAAGATACTCGGATTCCCATGCAAAATCTGCCTGTTTATTCCTCCCGATTCTTCAACTTTATTAAATTACACAGCTATCGCTGCTCACTTTCACAATAATCTTACAATAATTATTTATACAATGTTAAATACACTTCAGCTAAACTACATCAGCTACATTAACTACATCAACTACATAAAGTACATCAACTACATCAGCTACATCAACTACATCAGCTATATCAACTAGATCAGCTACATCAACTACATCAGCTACATCAACTACATCACTTACATCAACTACATGAACTACATCAACTACATGAACTACATCAGCCAGGTCAACTACATCAACTACATCAACTACATCAACTAAATCAAACAACTACATCAACTACATCATCTACATCAACTACATCAGCTACATCAACTACATCAGCTACATCAACTACATCAACTACATCAACTACATCAACTACATTAGCTATACCAACTACATCAACTACATCAGCTACATCAACTACATCAACTACATGAGCTATATCAACTACATCAACTACATCAACTACATCAACTACATCACAACCGTCTTTCTCAAACTCTGGTATGCCACTGACCTATAGTGGGAATACGAGTATCATTATCTTTGGGTTTTTCTGGTTCACGTCTCCAGCTCCGAGGATCCCATGCCGTCGTCTTTTGCAGGGGTTTTCTGCTCGACTTGCTTCCACTGTTGTCCGCCAAGCAAAGCACGGTCGTTACCTCAGTGAATACTAGTATTAGAAGAAGTCAATTCACAGTCAACAAGCATATTATGAAAAATTAAAACTGGATGGTACATCACGAAGGTTGAGAACGACGGTGACCTAGGCGGCGTGGTTCACCCAAGCTAAAACGGACTTCTATAAAATGACCTGTGAGGTAAAGGCAACCTTTGTGACACAGAGCAAACCAACTATCAAGGTCCAAATTCTCTATAGCAATATGGGGCAAGAACTATATTATTATCGACGCACCAAGAGGGGAAAACAGTTATGGTTGTACTTGACTTACTACAGCATGTTTGTTTGGCGCCGCAGTGGCTTAGAGGTCATCATTTACATATATCGTTCAGGTGATCGTGTGTTTGAAACCTCTTCGTGGAGGTAGCCCTCCCCCCCCCCACCTTTTTTCGGCCAAAAATTGGTTGATTCGGAGATCTCCGATAGTTATTGTCCGTTGGATCTTTACCCTGTAGCATGCAGGTGTACTTGGAAACGAACAGCCAAACCAATTGGCGTGTTCTGTACCACATGATCAGAAATGATTGCTTTACAAGCCAGATGTTCTCAATGGCGTTTGGAAGCTAGTAAACTGTGCTTGGCCAAAACAGATCATCAATGTCTGAACACACTGGTGCAGCAGGAAGTATCTAGAGAATCTGACGGAATCGCAAAATTTTACGGAAAGGCAAGGCTAACATGAAACATCTGAATTAGAACTTGCGATGCTTGCAGCAAATGGAGGACAGCGTCGCGAGTTAACTTTGATGGAAATTATCAATCGCTAGGGTCATGTACTCATTAAAACACATTCTGTCAAAATGTGCTCACTATAAATTTAAATTATTGTCTAATGTGTTATCTGTAGGCAGCAGACCGTCTGAAATTCTAAAGAAAACTATCCTACCCGTCGTCGACTATCAAGTATGCAGGAGCTTATACCCCAATGAGACCACACCTGATATTTTTTGTGCTGGCGAAATCAATGGTTTTACTGATGTGTGTAGACTGGACGGTGGAGGGCCCGCTGCTTACTCAGTAGAAGGTAGATCGGTTTTTTCCCCCGTTGGACTTAATATACCAAAACATATGCAGTTTCTCAAACAAGATGCTGTTTACCAGCTAATCTTCTTCGATGTTGAGATCTTCTAGGATCTCAGTACTTCTGTTCTTCTTGGTCAGTGGTATTCTGAGAATATGTCTTTTGCAATTCATCTCGAAAACCGCTTATTTTGTCCCGTAATGACTGTAAGATAGTCAAGGACTTCCAACAAGGAATGATGTCTGATCTAAAAACCGCACTTTGATTTCCTTGCTGGATTTCCTTGATTTCTTCATAGATTAAACTACTGATTGTAAAATTGCCTAGTAAATCCAAAAACAGCAACAATGGCTAAGGTATAATTATTCACTGGTAAGTTTATTATAAAACAGTCAATTATTTAAAAAATCAGCTATAAGACCAAGAGGACGGCTGTGCAAAAATATTAAAGACACTCTACGCCTTCATGGCATGACAATAGCCAGTGGCAGCCAGCGTGCACTAAATCTAAAAAAAAAATCCTGCCTACGAAGCTTAACAGCAAAAGTGGTTTGTGATAATGATGATCAGAAGTATCCAATGTTTTGTGGCTATTAATGACCAGCTTGTATAGTAGTAATTTGAAATGAATCGTTCTTTTATTAAATGCATCGCTTGAAAAAAAAAATAATGGCCTTTCATTTATCAATATATGGGACCAAGCGGGTGTTCAGGGCAATAAGCGCGTAGACTATCTGACGGACAAGGCGCTTACAATGACTGCCCGGCCCTGGACAGGAGTGATGCATTAAAGCAATGTAAGTTGACAGAACTTCGATAAAGGATGGATAGCGTTGCTCAGCTAAACAAAAACCACTGACATTCATCATCATCATGTAGCAGGTCCATTGCATAATTTGGCTCTTATCATGGTTGGCCGGAGTACACACACAAAACTTGGGCTCACTCCAGCTATCCCGCCTCGTGCACTTTCATATTCAAGGTGTCACTTACATCCTGTGTCCATCTTCATGTTGGTCGGCAGTTGCTCCTCCTTTCTATGCAACTTAGCATCTAAGTGATGCAAATAGTAAGTAATTAACTGAGTAATTACCTACCTTACTTACTAACCAACTAATTGACTAACATATATCGCACCCTATGGCGTAGCGGCTAGACGCTCGCGTGCGGATCGGGAGGTCGTGGGTTCACTCCCTGGCGAAAGCGGATTTTTTTTCTCTTCAAAATGAACTTGACTCCCAGATCGACCCAGCCTGGAGTTGGTACAGGGTGCAATCCTGGAAAGTAAAGGCGGCCGGCGTGTGCTGACCACATCCGGCAACTTGTGCCGATAGGTCTACAAAAATGTAGGTCTAGCCCTATATGCATTGTTCGCCTAAAGGCGTGGAAAAGGGATCTTTGTTCTTTTATATCACATCCTGATATTTATGCACAACAATCTACACACGATGCCATGTTTGGGGAGATAAGAGGGGGTCAACAGGCTAATAAGTGCAACCTGTACACGTGACGACGTAAATAAGGGGCGACTGCAGTCGAGTTGATAGCAAGAAATGCTAAATATAACACAAAATGTTACTAGAAAGCTCAAAGGTGGGAATGGAAAAGACTCACACAAACAGCCAAACGTTTCGACTAAAAGTCTTTATCAACGGAACACTAAGTATAACACAAGACTTTAGTTGAAACGTATGATTGTGTTGGTTTGCGCCTTTTCCATTTCCTCCGTTTGGGCTTTCTTTTCATATTTTATTTTATATTTAGCATTTAGTACAGATGACGCTCATGTTCTGCTTGATTTTTGTTTTCGAGTTTAAAAATTAGCACCATGGATAAGAGGCAGGAGAAGCTGAGAGCGCAGGCACATTACGACCCATCCGAAATTATTTTTACTCCCCGCTCCATTTTCTTCAGGGATGGGAGGGGGAGGGGGTGGCCTTAGCGCACCCCACCCATAGAGAATTTAGGAGTGGCTAAGTGCCATCTTCACCAGTTTAAAAACGTTTTCACTCTTCAGTATTTGTTTCTATTTCATAATAATTCTCACTGTATTAAAAAAAGAGGGCGTTTTGCACGCCTTTAGGCGAATAGGGAATATAGGGCTAGACCTATATTTTATAGACCAAGATGGGTGATGTGGTCAGCATCCCGCCGGCCGCCTCTACTTCCCAGAACTGCACCCGGTACCCACTCAAGGCTGGGTCGACCTGGGAGCCGAGGAAAGTAAAGATCTCTTTTTACGCTTTGGACACATCGGGTATATGGGAAGAGCGTCAGATATTTTTACAGACCAATTGGCATTGGATGGGTAATGTGGTCAGCATTACGCCAGCCGTCTTTACCTCCCCAGGACAGCCATCCTGGTACCCATTTTAGGCTGGGTCGAATGCGACGCCCCATACCACGATAAAAACCCACACAGACAGCAGTGGGTTTCGATTCTCCCTGTATTGGTATCTTTATCTTCCTTGTAGAACAAACATCATTACAGTAAACACAATATTAATTATTATTATTACTGCGCATCTAAACAAGGCTCAAACCATTGGCAGTGCATAAACAAAGAAAATATTTTTTAAAAAGAAAGAGCGCCTTTCGCATGTATTCCATACTTGTATTAGATCTATACATAATATATATATATGGGCATATTTTACATGTTTGCATATTGCAGATATTTTCATCTTATATGGCATTTCCGTGTTCTCGACCGGTTGCAACCAACCCAACTATCCTTCAGCGTTTGTAAGTATTGCAAGATATCGAGGTTGGATTGACAACACTATCGAACTTCACAGTAGCGGGCCTGAGGTAATCATCCCTGTGCGTTATCTTTATGAATAATACAGCCCTGTTCACCGGAAAACAGCAATAATTGGTTTAACTTATTTTGAATCAATGTTTTCGACAATAAATGTCAAAATTTTGTGTTTGGTTTGAACGGTAATTGTTAGCAAGTACCTGAAATAAACTGACAAACGAAATTTAACCTGTATTTTGCCTATGTTTTTTATTTGTAAAGTGGTCGCCGTGGCGTAGCGGCTAGACTCTCGCCTCTTGATCGGAAAGGCGTGGGTTCGCTCCCTGGCGTGGCTTTAATTATTTTTTTTAAAATGACCTTGACTCCCAAGTCGACTTAGCCTTTGTGGATACCAGGTGCAGTCCTGGGAAGTAAAAGCGGTCGGCCTGATGCTGATCACATCAGCCATCTTGTGCCGTTAGTCTGAAAGGCGTGTAAAAGGGTCCTTTACTTTACTTGTATCTATTTGTGAGAGGTATGAGTTTATAGTCGACTGATGAGAATACCCTCGACAGATCAAAAGAGTAATGATGACGTCTTAAAAGAAACTGACATACGGAGAAAACTTTTTGTCCAAAAAATAAAGAGAAAATCTACATTTTTTTTTTTGGGTCATGCAATGAGAAGTAGAAACTAGCGTACATCGTGACTGTAGGAAAGTTGGTGGGAACAAGAGGCAAAGGTAGGCAAATAGAACAGATGCTGGACAGTCTGACATCATGGCATTAAGGTTCATCTATGTCCGAGTTGATTGAAACTAAACGAAACAGAAGGTTGTGGATAGACATGACCACCAACGCCACGCGGAATAGACTTTAAGGAGAAGAAGATCTATTTATGATTCTGTTCATCGTGTCATTGTGGACGCGTGCATTTATGTCTGTATGCGTGGGTGTTTATGTGTGTGCTTCAGCATGACCATGCAATATAAAGATGTTGAAACGAGTATTTTGTCTTACATATCGGGGCGTGTGTTGTTGGTTTGACGTCTTGCCAAATCCTTCTGTCCCCTGTGCTGCCAAACATTTCTTGTACATATCCTCTCATTGTCATAAAATACTTATCTATTGTTTTTAAATCATTTATGATTATGATTACTAGGGAGTCGCTGTAGCCTAGCGGTTAGACGCTCGCGAGCGGATCGGAAGGTCGTGGGTTCGCTCCCTGGACATTTAAAAAAAAATGACTTTGACTCTCAGGTTGACCCAGTCTTGAGTGGGCACCGGGTGCAGTCCCGGAAAGTAAAGGCGACCGGCGCGATGCTGACCACATCATCCACCTTGTGCCGTTTGGTCTTGAAAAATATAGGTCTAGCCCAAATACCCTATACGCCTAAAGGCGTGGAAAAGGGTCCTTTTTTTTTTATTTTTTTTTTTACTTTTTTACCTAATTATGATTACATTTCAGTCGTTGGCATCTTTCCACCTTTCCAGACGAGTGTCACCAGGAAAATCAGCCTTCGTTAAGAAACGTCTAGAAAATGTGAGCACAGGATTTCATGAAAATGATTGCCATCAGAAGGATTTATAGTGTGTTTTTCTTCTCAGACGCTCAGATTATGTGCAGTCAGGTTTTCCTGTATTCATAAACCTTTCTGATTAATCCTTTTTACGGTCAAGTTCATTTTCCAATTTAATCTAGAGCAATAACTGTATCAGTCATATCCCACTGGCACATATCGTTATAGCGCAGTAGAGGCTGAACTAGATATCATCTACCAAACGTAATTTACAATAGAGGAAGCCATCATGGACAAATTAAAAAAAAAAAAAAAAGCAACAATGGATTCTGGTGTCCCTGAGTGATTTCCCGATTTGTAAGGCTTTAAGTATGAAAGAATAGTTTAGGGAGATACAAGAGAAAATGAGGAACCGTTAAAGATCATAAAAGATAATAGTGAGAAGATAATATAGACTGAGCAGGTATGTCGTTACGCTGATGCAAATAAGTACTCTCACCCTTGGATCAATTCAAAAGAGGTAGATAAGAGAAGAATATTGGCTCTTTGAACAGAGGCTGCTGGAATGTCTGCGACCCTTGAAGTACTGTTGCACTAGTGCAGTTCTGACTCTAACTCTATACGATGACTAATACAAGTTACCACACCTGATTCTAAATAATCAATATAACTAAACCAACTAGATTCAAGATTATACAGCAACTAGCTGTACCCGGCCATGCGTTGCTGTGGCATAGTTTGGCT